AGGTTATTCCTTTTGATGGTATCCCACATGCACCTTAGGCTTTCTTCATTTTGTTTTGACCTTTTTTCTGATTGATCCCTTTCCAAAGAAGTATTCAGGTATTTGTCTTCAATCTCATTAATTCTGTCTTCCATTGCATCAATCCTACCCCTTTGCTTTTTCAATGTGTTATCTATTTCTGACAAATTTAGTATTAATCTTCTGGATTTCTGTCTGTACATTTAGAGTCATTTCTAATTTTTCATTTGTTTTGTCATTTTGTTCTTGTATTTTCTTCTAAAATTCTTCTAAGGTTTTGTCTGATTTCTTTGGTCTGTCTCTGAATCCTTTGAAAATACCTAAATATAATTCTTTTGAATTCTTTATCAGGGGGTTCTAATGCTGTGTCTTCCTCAGGGATGTGTTTTGGGTCTGTATCCTGGTCCCTTGTTTCTCCTGTTTCATCTTGCTTCTTTGTGTGGACTGTGATGCTCTGTTGTCTCCAAGGCATTGTGACATTTTTGTGTTTATATTTAATTGGTGATTGTATGTTGGAGTGACTTGCCACAATTTTCATTTTCTTTGTTTTGTTTGTATGTTATCTATACAGGCAAGGTACTATGCTGTGCTCCTCTATTCACTAGTTGACAGCACTTACACACTCACCACCTGTCTTCTTTCCTGTTGTCAGCCTCTTGTATGTCCTTGCTGCCGCTGGCAAATAGCCTGTTTTTAGGTCCCTGGAATCCGAATGAGAATGCTATCACTTTAAAATCCAAAATTGCTACTTGTAAACATTCAAAATGGCTGCACCTTCAGTCACTTTAAATATCCAAAATGGCCACCACTTGTAAACATGCAATATTGCTGTGCCTTCAGTCACTTTAATATCCAAAATGGCTGCCTCTTGTAAACATTCAAAATGTCTGCGCCCTTGGTCACTTTAAATATCTAAAATGTCTGCCTCATGTAAACAATCAAAATGGCTGCGCCCTTTGTTCAGCAGAAAGTCCACAGCTCAGGTTGTCTACCTCCTTGCTGTTTCCCTTCCTAGTCATAGGCCACCAGAGCAGTTGTCCCTGCAGCCCTTGGTGACTGGG